TTGTCAAAAGTAACGCTTCTTTACAGGTCTTGAAAAATTTTAATGATAATTCACAGTAATGTGGAAGAATTTCACTTCAGATGCTAATCACAGAATATTAAAGACTGTTCGAGATGCTACCACTATGCTTAAAATCCTTCATTTTATCAAAGCAGATCCGTCGGTGTTTGGGGGTCACTTTAGGCCCAGTGCTTTGAGGTGCTTGTGATTTCTGTGTGTGCGGTTCTTCACTTGTGCAGCTGACAAATTTTTTCAGTTGCTTTGACTAGCGCTGCATCGTCTTGTACTCAACCCTGTCTCCAGTTTCTTCGTGCTGGTCTTTTCTAAGTAAGCGTAGCAAAAATAATGAAAATTTATATACTGCTACACACATATGACACACAAATACACACACATACACACACTCACACACACACACGCGCGCACATACACAAACACACACCCACACATAAACGTATTATATGTTTGATGCGTGGAGTTTCGAATTCGAGAATGTCGATTCTGGATGGCGGCGCATTTCAGTGCTACAGCCGGGCGCCATTGGATGCAGTCATTCAGCGCAGTGTTCGGTAGCGGCACACGGTGCATACTGCAGTCGGCATACGTGCACCTGTCCGGAAGGTCTTGTGCCAAGCGATGGAACATGCGGCAAGCAGTGCCCGGCGGGCTTCACGTTCTCCTCTGTAACTGGACAATGTATTCCACGTATGCATTTCACTTCTGGTGCTCTCAGCTTTTCTTATTAATCATTCAGCGGATCTTGGCGACGGCCTTGACCATCTTTACGCAACGATCTTGAGTTACTATGTGTTCGATCACATTCCCAGGCCGTTGGCTCAGAGGCGTCAAAGTTCGTTTAACTTGTCCTTTTACAATTTGTTCTGTTTTGCAGTGGTTCGACCTGGTGAACAGTGCTTTTATTCGACGCAGTGCGAAGCGGAGAACGCCGAAATGATTTGCGATCGGAGTATATGTCGCTGCCCCAACAACAAATTATTCACGGGCGCAACGTGTGCCGAAAACTGCCCGCCGGGTTATATGGAAGCGAACGGAATCTGCAAGCAAGGTTTTTCAAAACTAAAAAAAACTTAATGAATCTTTAAAATTTTTTGGAAGGAACGAGTTAATAAAAAACAATAGGAGGTATGCAAATCTGGAACGAAGAGCCTGCGCTGGCTGCTCTTGGCGTTTGTGGGCATCCTAGTGACACCACTAAAATAGGAAAAACACATTGCGACTGTCCGCATGGTGTTAATATTCTTGGTGCACTTTTGAAAATTTTTATTTTACTTTAACCTACACAACCATAAAAAACACAAAAAAGATGTAGTTCAGGATGCGATCCGACACAAGTTGAGCACAATGGCAGATGCTATGATCAGGTGGCAGCTGGACAAAGTTGTGTGTTGAATTCGCAGTGCACCGGAGGAACCAGCTGTGTGAATGGATTTTGTATCTGCCCTGCATCAATGACTATCAGAGGAGGATCGTGTCGTCAAAGTAATCTCTTTAGCACATCGTTACTTGTACGATGACCTTCAAGCCAGACAAAATGGGAAAATAGACCAAACCAGGAGAGAAATGTTTGTTTGTGTGCAGCTACGTGCACAGAGAAAGTAAAGAAAAAATGGCCAACGCACGGGCTGCCCGTGCGAAGATGCGTTTTTTGCAGAGTTCCCTGCAGTTTTTGTCGCTGCCCAACGCACGGGCTGCCCGTGCGAAAATGCGTTTTTTGCAGAGTTCCCCGCAGTTTTTGTCGCTACTGGCATCGGTTTTTTCGGCAGATGCTTCTAGTTGAAAGAATTTCAGACTGGCCGT